ACAAAATATTAACTCATAAAATTTACTTATTTGTTGAATTATCCTAACGATGGAGTATCATAAGAAGTTGATTCATGACACGATTCATACATAGACTCCAAAAATACTCTAGTATCAGCCTGAAGTAGTACACAGATAATTTACAAAAAATCTATCGTATATCACCGCCATTTGCAGGCGAAAAATAAAACGCTTTATTTTTTATGGAGTATCATAAGAAACTGATTCATGACACGATTCATACATAGACTCCAAAAATACTCTAGTATCAGCCTGAAGTATTACACAAATAATTTACGAAAAATCTATCTTATATCACCGCCATTTGCAGGCGAAAAATAAAACGCTATATTTTTTATGGGACTGCTTGGACTAGCGCCCTGTCTTGAGGAGCTTCGGCTCATTATGTTGGCTTGGAGATCAGATAGGAAATTGTGACGAGATAACTAACCGCGGAACACGTAGATCGCGAATGTCAGACCGTACGAACGGACTGGAAACCCGTTTGTTTCTGCCTCTAACAGTCTTGTAATGGACGCATTACAGTCACTGATAAGGTCACCCAAACTCGTAGTGTTGAGCATCGCAAAATCTCGTGTGCCGAATCCATTCTTGAAGGAATTTTGTCCCACATTTTTTCTTGGTTTTCAGCTTCCACAGCACCAGAAGTATTTTTTAAAACAAATTTGCGATAAATGCTTTAAGAGGAAAGCCTTGTATACTCTGTCTATTTATGCATATTTTTCAATTTTTCATTTCACCTAGATTTTACAGTGAAATCCTTCCAAGCCGTTAAAGTTTGCAACAAAAAAACTTGAGCTTAAGCAGACTCTGCTAAAATGGAGCAAAATTGAAAATGAGGCAAATTAATTTGGAAAAATAAAAGAAAGTTGTGTACATTGTCTCCATAAGCAGTTTACTCTTCTATTTAGCAAAATGATTGTGTTTCACATTCAACTGTTTGATAGTCATCTAATTTTTATTACAGCATAGATTTCAGAATATTCCAATACATTTTTTAAAACGTCTTGAGCAATGCATAAACTATGTAATTATTTTTCCAAGTATTACATAGCATATTATATAGTATATTACATAGTAACTATGTAATAGTATTTCTCCAAGTTCTTGAGATCTACATAGACTCCAATATATTCACCCAGGAAGCTTTCCAAGTTTTCTAAACGAAAATACCTTTCTCCTGCGGAAAGCTATTGCCTAACGAGTCATCCTAATTAAAAATTATGCGAGTAACTTTGGCTTTCCCAGCGTTATCTAAAAGCTCTTGGGAAGCAGTCACATTTGGTAGATCGTGAAGGCATGTAAGGTGAGCGTCAGCGTTATCAGGGATACAGCAAAGCAATGGCCATCGTTTGGGTGGTCCCGACAAGAAGGTTTTCCGTAAATGCCGCAATATAATAAACGATAGACGTTAGCACAGTGAGAGCAGACTCATCTTATTCATACTGCCATGGTTAATAAACGCTAGAGGACATAAAAAAGATAATAAAGAGAGTTTCCAGTGACTGCATTAAAATATAAATCCAAAAGTATGGTTAGATCATTTTACGCCAACTAAATCTGTTATCTGTGGTTGACGCAGGAAATATACAAAATCAATTATATAACTAAGTTTTAACAGTGTAAATTGCATATGTAATCAATGGCACAGAAGGTATAATGTCGATAACTGTGTCACGCGATCAATTTATAAAATAATTTCTGAACTATGGCAGTTGTATACTATAATGAAGGTAAAAGCACGTGGTGTCTTGCAAGTTCTGTTCTAAAAAAGAAACATTTCAATTCTGCTCATAAAAACACGGATCAAATCGTATTATAAATAGAGCTATGCCTTCTAACAAGCTCCATACTCATTCATGACACAACAAAATCATCTGAAATAGAAAAACAACCACAAGATATCTCCTTCATATCAAAAGTCATATAATTGCTCGCATGTTATTCTTCGAAATTTTTTGACGTTTTCTTATACTTTTTGTAGTATCACTTATTTTGCACAAAATAAACTTCACAAACGCGTATTAAGTGCTGAGTTTTAGGCTGACTAACAGAATATCCACCATTATTTTCAACTTTCGTGTTAAAAAAAATTGAATACCGGCCGTATATAAATTTACAACGAAACGCACATTTTTCATCGTGCAGAATATCGATTCCAAGGTAAAAGGGATCTCCAAAAAAAATAATTTCTTTTATATGAATATCGCTCATATTGCAGGAACTGGATATCAGCTGGAAATTTTGAATACTTACATATGAGTTATGTAAAAAACAGAATCGAACTTCAACTGATGAATTTCGAACCATAAACAGCTAGCTTTTGCTACAGCTTCAACAGCGTTTCTACTGAACATATAGAGAATACACGAAGAACAAAAAATTAACTTAATGCAACAATTTTGTATCTCAAAAAAATTAAAATGCCGGGCACGAGGAAACTATATTCGTAGTCTAAGACAAAGAAGTTTTTTTCTGGGAATGTTGATACCGAAATCAAGGTACCATTCCCACAACTTGATTGATATTGAAAAGTTATAGTATGTTATCGAGACACTCATATATTGCCTGATGCAATGATGACTGCAGGTAAATAAATACTAGAGCTACATGAGTAATCCGCATGACTTGCGTGCAACGCAAAATTTTCCGCCTAATAGTAAAATAGTAAACTGGTGCTTGTATGTGTCATGAACTAAGAACTTAAAGATATAGAATGTTTACATTCAATCGAGTGGCTGTGAAGTGCCAATCACTCAGCCAATCTTCTACGATCATCTAAGCTTTTAAATAACATATAAAAAAGCGACTGGTAAGCTTGACATATATATAAACATGCATACATAAGTTCTAGAGTCCTGACGTTCAGTGGTCTGATTGTGGAGGACCTCAGCTGCCCTCGTGCCGACACACATCGCTTATCAAGCGCCGATTTCCGGTGCCTAGAAGTGGCAGGACGAGCGCAGCGTCGGATGCCTGCTCGCAGTGCCGAATTTTCCGGCAGAGTGTCGGGCTTTCCTGAAAACAACGTCTCGCTTAGGCAGTCCCTTGTTGTGCCTTTTAAAGAGTAATGAAGTGAATATAGTTATTGTAGCGACTGGGATCGCTTCTACCCTGTAAGCGTTAGGTGTAGTTCCCTGCGTAGACGGCATCAGTCTGATCAACCATGCAGCTTTGCGGACAACGCTGAGTCCCAAATTTTCCGGTGCAGTGTCGGGCTTTCCTGAAAACATCGTCTCGATTAGGCAGTCCCGTGTTGTGCCTTTTAAAGGGTTATGAAGTGAATATAGTTATTGTAGCCACTGGAATCGCTTTTACCCTGTAATCGTTGGGTGCCTATATGTGTAGACGGCATCAGTCTGATCAACCATACAGCATTGCAGACAACGCAGAGTCGTGAATTTTCCGGTGCAGTGTCAGGCTTTCCTCCAAACATCGTCTTGTCTAGTCACTAGTCAGTCCTGTGTTGTGCCTTTTTATATGGTTATAAAGTTAATAGAGGGATTGTAAAGACTCAAGTCAAGAAAACTCTCCCCCGAGTAATCGCCGGATGTGATAACGTATCTATTATTTCAGTTGAATCAGCCGCATATCCACCAGTAAGAATTTTTTCGAGTTACTTCGTGTATAACGTCACCCTGGACCACTCACAACTAAGTCTGAGCTAAGATTTTCCTATTTATCCTATGAAAAAGATGAAAACTAAATTTAATAGCTGAATTGAACGTGCATACTTCTGTCTAAGAAGATCGATCGATATCCATTACTTAAAGTTTCGAAATATCATCTTCGTGGCCCCTGTTCTGAAGTAAAGAGAACAATCGGCAGGAAAACTTTGCTCTGAGTAATACCGGTACTGAAATATTTTTAGCAAGTGGAAGAAAAACGTAAACTTTGTTTTGCTAGTCTAGAGCATTACGTGTTTATTTTCCTTTATATTAGAGTAGATTGATTTGCACCTACTTGAGGTGACACCGCAGCATGAAGTTACATTATCAAAGTCACTTTAGACCGGTCAATTATACCTTTATCGATAGCCGAACTCTAAGAGAGAAAAAACCTCAGTCTTTCTTCTGTTAATTGCATAATTTAGTTTTGTGATCAGTGATGTTAAGGTCCAAAGTTATTTTTCAATGCATCTGCGAGCAATATACTATTTATACAAAAAGAGAATAAAATTCACACATCCAAACAGCTGATGATCTTGACAAGATTTCAATGAATGTGGACCTTATCAGTGGCGTTATCTGTTAGGTGGTATCTCGCCAATCGGAGCGTTCTAGATAAATCCTTCCTTTTCTGTCACAATTCAGTGCATATTTGGTTTTGGTGTAGAAAGCACTTTTCTCAATTGTAGTTCCAAAGCCGGGGTATCAATTTCAATAAATTTATTTCTTGTACTGAATTAATTTTAATTTTTTAATTGATGTCAAAGCTCGTGGCTCAATCTTACTGTCTAAGTGATGTTGTCTCAAAAGATGTTGCTAAAAATATTTGTTTTGTGCCCACTTCAAGTTGATTAAAAGCCTAAAACTTATATAGCTGGTTAATTGTGATCGAAAATTATCATTAAAAATAAATTCGAATTAGAGTTGTACAGCCCAGCAGGCAATGTCAGGTTGAATTCACGTCGAAACAACGAACTTCGCGATGTTGAAATAACATTGAATTCCGAATGAAAAGTGAATCAACGTAATTTTTTCACAGTCATACATTTCGACATTCCATTTCGTTGCATCGTAAATTTCGTTTTTGATGTTAAAAGAGTATTTTAAAAAGGTTTTATTATGTTAACATGTACTATCATGATTGTCACAATATTCACGCGATTTCAACGTTGAAACAACGTCGAAATGTACGACGTTGAAAAATGACGTTGATTCTCTTACCGTTCTAGACTTATATTCAACTTTATTTCAGCGTCGCGAAGTATGCTGTTTCAACGTTGGTTCAACCTGACATTGCCGGATGGCGAAGCTTTGTTTCTTTTCCCAGCGTGTACGAGTGTAAATAGATGGATATAGTTGCTCGCGATTGATCTAAGTGAGAGAGATTTGAAAATTTTTAATGGGCATAAGGAATTGGTTTAAACGAAGTTGGTTCAGCGCGTGGGATCAAAGTTGTGAACTATTTTTAAGAAATAGGTCTCGTGGTTTGTTCTCTGTGTATAAATAACGTGTAAGAAATATCCTGAGCCAGTCTTCAAATATTTATTGAAACAAATAATGTTCGCTATAAAATTTTCCATCGGAAACAAATCCTAAATTCATCGGACAATTCACACTGGCGGGTTTTTTACTTTAGATCGACGTAAGTTCAAAGATAATTTCTTTAAGAATAACATGTTTGTTCTAATCATGCGCCCATGCTGCAATAGCCAATCCATTCGATTTTGAAACTCATGAGCTGCAACGTGTGACGGTATAGGTATTGTAAAACTCATTAGCTGTAACGTATGAGGTATTGTAAAAAGCAATACGAAACCAACTGGAATGTAATTCTCGATGATATCTCATCAAAGACAGTTCGAAGAAATTGTCTCCGTTATTTTACAATGAATTGGTTGGGTTACCCAACGCTGCTGACGTTGTTGGTCATTACGTCATCAGTGAAAGGATCCAAGAGCGACATCGCTGACACCAGCTTCACTGAAGACGCCAAAACGACGGGTAAGTTTAGACTTCTTCCGGGCACGGATTATAGAGCGCCTGGCATTTAGAAAGATTTCTTGGATTTTGGAAAAATAGTTCTTTATTTATCATCAGTTTCCAGAAAATGTAAAATGTAAATTTTTGATGTTGGGTGTTTAATTTAGTAGCTAATTGTACTTGAAGAGGACTGCAACGGATTTTTTATCCGAGTTCATTTTTGACTAGTTAATTAGCAAAGATTAGCAATCGTGTTGCAACTGAAATGTTTAGACTTTTATCTTCAAAAAAAAATTTTTTTTAAGCAACTTTGAGCAATCATGCTCAGTAACTTGGAGTGAATTCATCGAGGATTCCTCGCAACTGAATTTATTCATGATCAAACTCTGTTGTTGCCGCTCTATGTTGACATCCAATTTGGATTTCGGAGGAACATTAAACCGTTTAGCTTTGGCTTATTGAAGAACCGTTGTTCATTGTTGAATATACACAATTTTACAATAACTTTACTAATAAAACTAATGACTAAAAATAAGTCTATTTAACTTTACTAATAAAACTAATGACTAAAAGTAGGTCTATATTGTGTAATTCATTCTCATGATGACGAAGAAATAAGTAGCTAGATGCACGATAGATAAACATAAATGTTTAAATGATGAAAAATCATGTTTTTTTCATTTTTTTTTATCTTTGTTACTTATGACAAAGATCAAAACATTGTCGATGACAAAAACTTATCTTATCAAATGGTCATCGCTTATTCGACGATTAGCCATCGCATCAGCGATAATGATTTCTTTTCTGGCTCTCCATTGAATTGAGAAAGAATGAAAATGCTAATGCAGATTAAATCCGCGCAAGAGGAAGATCAAAGCTAACTTCACTCTGGAACCTGGTTGTGAGTCTTGTATTTGGCAAACAGCTAGCCTTAAACTATGTCGTTTCTGCCCCGTACTTATTTAATATGTTGAATATTACAAACGATTTACTATCAAGAACTATTTTTTTTGTTCAATAAGAAATATTATGTTTGATTACCTTCAAGCTGTTTTTGATTAAACATATGTCTAATTTGTTGAGATTTTTTATCCGAGTTCATTTTTGACTAGTTAATTAGCAAAGATTAGCAATCGTGTTGCAACTGAAATGTTTAGACTTTTATCTTCAAAAAAAATTTTTTTTGGAGCAACTTTGAGCAGCCATGCACAGTAACTTGGAGTGAATTCATCGAAGATTCCTCGCAACTGAATTTATTCATGATCAAACTCTGCATGTTGCCTCTCTTTGTTGGCATCCAATTTGAATATCGGAGTATATAGCCTTAAGCCTTTTAGCTTTGGCTTACTTAAGAACAGTTGTTCATTGTTGAATATGCACCATTTCATATCAAATTTACTAATAATATAGACTAAAAATAAGTTTTTAGTGCGATTTCCATTCTCATGGTGACGAAGAAATCACTATTTTCTAAGTAGCCAAATGTACAATATATAAACAAAAACGTTTAAATGATGAAATATCATTGCTTTCATAACTTTTCTTCATATTTTGGGTCATTTGAAGTACTTCAGGCCCACTTTGATCTTCCATGTTACTTTTGCTTAAGAAAAAATATTATATGCCCATGGTATTATGAACGTTTTTAATAATCTCAGGGCAACTTTGATTCCTGTGTGAGTCAGGGTCATTTAAGTGGTTCCGGCTCAAAAACTATCGGCCAAAGACGCCATATTGTTCTAAGGCGTCTAAATTCACACAATTGTTAACAGGAAGAACCTCTATCATTATTGACGAGAAATTTCACGCTAAGAAACGTAGCTTCGCTTAATATTCTCGCATTAGCGATGGCCATCGCTTATTCGACGATTAGCGGTCGCCGCAACAATTATGTTTCCCAGCTCTCCGTTGAATTGAGAAAGAATGGAGATGCTAATGCAGATTAAATCCGCGCACGAGGAAGATCAAAGCCAACTTCACTCTGGAACCTGGTTGTTAGTCTTGTATTTGGCAGTCACCTATTATACTTAAACTATGTCGTATGTGCCCCGTACTTAATAAATATGTTGAATATAACAAACTATTTACTATCAAGAACTATTTTTTTTTGTTCAATAAGAATTGCTGAAATATNTTATGTTTGATTACCTTCAAGCTGTTTTTGATTAAACATATGTCTAATTTGTTGCGGGATTTTGATTAAATCTGAAAAATATCATTTGCAATGAACAGAAATTTAATTGCATCATAATTAGATTTCGTAATAAATATTCTAAAAATACCAGAGCTTTCTCCTAATAGACGGCAGATCGGAGGGAGAGAATAGTTCAGACTTGGCAAGCAATGTCATGATCATCGCGAATTACCCGGCACCCAAACCATCAGCAAAAACACTTCATGAAAAGCGACGAAGCGGCGACGGCGCTCGGGAAAAAAGCGAGTTCCAAAACTCGCTACCAAAAACTTGTGGTAAGTTTTCATCGGCTGTAAATTATCATTGAATCCATATGAATTAAAATCGAACGTAACTGTTTTTCACAAGCGTATTTTTAATCTTATTAATGTATGTAAATTCGTCCTGAAATTTCCTCAGGAGTAACTGATGACAAGCTGCTTCAAGCCAACGTGTTCCCTCAAGTTCATTCCGGGGCTTCACGGAGCCGTAGGAAGGTAATTCTTTATAATCGACAACTTTGAAGTTATATCATTCAGTCACCTTTTTAGCAATATTGTGTGTTTTTTCTACTCATTTCATGACACATAAATGACAATGATATTTCATGACAATGATTAATAATTAATTATATCCTTATACTTCTTTACCTTCTTTCCACTGCTTAGCGTCGTGAAGCGCTGAGGCAGAACGCCCCAACAGAAGCCTTCAAAACGTTTTTTTTGTCACTTTTTAGCAATATAGTATGTATTTTCTACTTATTTCATGACACATTTAAGTCAAAGATTACTAATTAACTATTTCATTGCACTTTTTTACCTTCTTTCCACTGCTTATAGCGTCGACAAGAGCCGAGGCAAAACGCCCCAACAGAAGCCTTCAAAACGTTTATTTTTTGTCACTTTTTAACAATATAGTGCGTATTTTCTACTTATTTCATGTCACATATAAATCAAAGACTAATAATTAACTATATCCTCTTACTTTTCACCTTCTTTCCACTGCTTAGCGTCGTCAAGCGCCGAGGCAGAACGCCCCAACAGAAGCCCCCGAAACTCTGTGGATTTCAGGAGGCGACGTGCGCGGGACGCGTCGTTACGTTGAAGTACATCTCGTGGCCGATGCTCGACTTTCTCGCAGGATGAACCATGACGACAGAAAACTTCAAAAATTCACTGCTGAAATCATCAGCTACACAAATGCTGTGAGTATTCATCGAGTTTGCATAGATAATTTATGTACGAAACTGCATTGAATACCTACATTGGGACTGAGTTATATCACATGCAGTCTGCGAGAAAAAATCTCTCATAATTTGTGGTTTCGTCAATTGATACCTACTATGAGCATGACAAAAACAATGAGGATTCAGATGGTCCAGTACACGCTTATTAATGTTGGCTGCAGGGTAGATTAAAGCAAATAAATCGCTTACAGACGCTTGGACATGAGATTCCGTTCAGCTTTTCTATAAAAAAACGTGAAATTAGCGACAGTGAATGCTTTTTTAAGCTTTACTGGAGTAAGACCTATTTGTTTTGAAGGCGGTGCGCTTTTCATTACAAAAATTTCATTGTTAGAATAGTGTTTGAACACGTTTTTAGGTCAATAATCAATTTTAATTTTCCAGCTGTTCGAGCCCCTCGAGATTAGCGTTGTGCTAAAAAAACTGGAAGTTTGGAACAACGGAGACAAGACGAGCATCACGGAGAGGCACGATGAGACGCTCGAAAATTTCAAACGCCACAGAATCGGTCAGCTGATGGAAGACAAGGACTTTGATGTCACTCTTTTGCTAACGTAAGTTGTAAACTCTCATTTTAAATCATTACCGAGCATCAAAACTCTCACTCTGTTTCTGTACAAAACGAATTCGAATATTTCAACGTAGGGCATAGATTTTTTAGTTTCTTGATATTTTTCGTGAGATTCATATTTAACAAATTCGAATATTTCTATGTTAACCATAGATTTTTCTTTTAGTTTTTTTTATATCTATCGTGAGATTAATATTTAAAAATAACAATATTTTGAGTATGAATACTTGATTTGCAGAGACATTGATTTTGAAAGCACCACCATCGGGTATGCGATCGTTGGCAGCATGTGCTCCGGTACGGCCGTCGCTGTCGTACAGGTGCCTATACTTAGACTGGAAATTCTGTAATAGTGAAAATATTTCAAGTATAAATGTATTTATCAGTTAACAACTTAAATTTTTTTACCTTTTCAAATACTAAAAATTATTCCAAAATAATTCGACTGATATATGTAATCACTTGAGGCTCAACATTTCATTTTCGCTTCATTTTGAACCAAGAATTTGTTAAGCGCATTAACGACGGTCATTATTATTTTTTGCGATACATGAAGTTAAAAACTATAAATTTAACATCAGTTGAGAGAATTAATTTATATTAAATTATCTTTGTTCATTTACAAGAGTTTTGTTAGCATTGAACACAACTGGATCTTTTTGTATGTAACTCATTTTCTTAGTGTTCATTCCTAGACAAAATTTGAAAATGGGAAGTTTGTTGATCGTTTTATGTAAATTTTTGCTATTAATTTAGTTCAGCTGACGTAACATCAAAATGGCATTCTGACAAACTAAATTACCTACATAATAAAACAATTATTGAGTGCTAAATTAGTTTGAATTTGCAACGGAGTCAGGTTTCATAATTATTTGGCGTTATCAAATTTAAATAGATACATTGCCCGCAATATATGGAGACACTTCCAATATCAAGCTCAAAAAAATAATGTTTAAAACTGAATACAAATTGCCGGGCCAAAACTGAATAAAAATTACCCACTCGAGAATAAAAAGCGCATCGCTATTCGGAGAAAGTCTCTTAATTGCCTGAAAGTAGGGAAATGAGTGAATAGATTTTTCCTCGAATAAACTCAAGTAATTGAATAAATTGTAATTAATTGAATTGTAATTCAAAACTGGAATCAGACGCGTGGCTCCGACGAGTTGGCTGTGTCGCACACGGTTGCCCACGAGCTCGGCCACGTGCTAGGTATGTTCCACGACGAAGCATCCTGCACGTGCAACGACACGTCGTGTGTCATGGCCGAGGAACTCAAGTTAGTATAGTATACATATCATTGCATCTTTTTACCGAAATAATGATGTATCATCGTACCAAAGTCATAATTGAATGAAATAAAAGATGTATCATTGTACCAGAGTCGTAATTGAATGAAATAAAAGATATATCGTCGTACCAGACTCGTTGTTGAATGAAATAAAAGATGTATCATTGTACCAGACACGCTGTTGAATGAATAAAAGATGTATCATTGTACCTCGTTGTTGAATGAAATGAAAAATTCATCATTGTACCAGAGTCGTTCAATTTAATGGAATAAAAAAAGAAGTATCATTGTACCAGACTCGTTGTTGAATGAAATAAAAGATATATCATTGTAGCAGAGTCGTAATTGAATGAAATAAAAGATGTATCATTGTACCAGACTCATTGTTGAATGAAATATAAGATGTATCATTGCACCAGACAGAAAGTTTATTGGAATAGAAGGGGTATTATTTTACCAGACAGAAAGCTTATTGAGATAAATTATAAACCTCCCTTAGGGGGTTATTGAAACCCACCATGGAGTGGAGCAGCTGCAGCAAGATGCAGTTGGCCCGACACTTTGTTCACGGCGAGTTCTCGTGTCTGCAAGACATCCCGCGGGCGTCCAGGGGCCGCCAGTACGAACACTGCGGCGACGGGGTCGTTGATTCCGGCGAACAGTGCGACTGCGGACCGGCAGGCACTTGCCGAAATCCTTGCTGCGATCCCCTCACTTGCAAGTTCCGAGAAAACGCAACGTGTGCTTCCGGAGACTGTTGCGATCTTACGGTACGATTTTTATGGAGTGATAAATCTAAATATGCAGTGAAGGTAGTCATTTTTAGTTGTCCAAATTCAATACAAATCAACTGGTTTACCGAAATAAAAAATGTAATATTTTAGGGTATTTTTAAATTTAATTTTCATACCCTAGAGGGTTATGTTCTTTGAACTGAATCATAGTCTTCGATCTCACACCTTTACTTTCCAGATGGATTCTCGATATATTTGTTTATTTTTGATACGTATGCCCCCCTAATATTTGTTAATCATCAAAAATCCGCTCATAATGCAACCGCAAATGTCTAATAAATCTAAAAAAAAATCGTAAGTAAAATTGCCAACACTTTTTATAAAATTTTCACTAACTCTACACTTCCTCATGCCGGCAGACCTGCCGTCAAGCGACCGCGTCGACTCCGTGTCGACAAGCTCGAGGCGAGTGCGACTTGCCGGAGTTTTGCTCGGGCTGGTCAGAAGTTTGTCCGCATGACGTGTATGTCCACGATGGAGCTCCCTGTGACGATGGACAGGTGCACTTTATGGTCCAACTTTCTAATCGAAGGGATTATATATATCTATTTTTAGCGCATTTTCTCATATACGGAAAAAATGCACTATTGTGCTCGCCATGTCAGTCAGTCTGTCTGTCTGTCCGTCTGTCCGTGCGTCCGTGACCTCAAGTTTTCGTCGACGAGAAAATGCGCTCTCTGTCACTCACTGCAGTGAGTACTGAGTTAAATTTTTGTATTTTTATTTTACTTGCAACTCTATCAGTTCATTGACATAAGGGAACTTGACCAAGTTAGGAATGGGTATACTGTTAGAAATTTATATTGTAGTTTCATGGTAGCTGCAAAATTTCTTTATTTAGAGGTAACAATGGAGCAGCTTGATAGAATAAGAGTTCGAAAATTATTAATTGAAGCAAATCTTTATCTAACTTTCTCGTTTATATCCAGAATCCGTAGAAGAAAGAATGTTTTGGATTATATCCTTCGAATAACGGAGATTTCTTTACAAACGGATAAAATCTGTCATATCCCATCGACTTTATATGTTTCCAAACATAGTTAAAAACTTATATGTTTCAAAAGATAGTTAAAAAATTTATGTTTCACAACATAGTTAAAAATTTATTTATATGTTTCAAAACAAAGTTAAAAAATTTATATGTTTCAAAACATAGTTAAAAATTTATGTTTCAAAACATAGTTAAGAAATTTATATGTTTCAAAACATAGCTAAAAATTTATATGTTTCAAAACATAGGTAAAAATGTATATGTTTCAAAACATAGTTAAAAATTTATATGTTTCAAAACATAGTTGAAAAATTTATATGTTTCAAACATAGTTAAAAAATCTATGTTTCAAAACCTAGTTAAGAAATTTATCTGTTTCCAAACATAGTTAAAAATTTATATGTTTCAAAACATAGTTGAAAAATTTATATGTTTCAAAACATAGTTAAAACATTTTTATGTTTCAAAACATAGTTAAGAAATCTGTCATGTCGACATGCCAGGGCCACTGCGTAGCAGGCAAGTGTGGCAGTCACCGCGTGAGGTGCGAGACACTCTTCGGTCCCGCCACCGTCCCCGCTCCGGACCGATGTTTCGCTAACAACGTTCTGGGGCGTGAGGGACAAAACTGCGGCTTAATTCGTTCGTCTTTGACGTACCGAAAATGTAATCCAGAGTAAGTACAAAAGCATCCCAATTTTTTTGTTCATTAACGAACGACACTTGTTTGTAAATTATGTTTATCCGTAAAAAGTCTTCTTCTATGTCATTGTTAGATTAGAAAGTTATCACTGATATGCTTGATTTTTGCATTAATTATCCCAAATATGAATAGAATTGTTATAAAATATTCCCTAAATTGATTGCACGCTGAAGGATCAGCGGAAGGTTACAAGGAATTAGGTTTTTCGACTTTCCGTTACGAATTGCTGCTATCTTTCCTGGCCACAAAAATGTTTCCTTTCACAAAATCGCTGGCGGGATGGAATTTATTTTGTATTGTATCGGACATCGTTCAGGAATTGAAGATGCGTAAGGCCCCATACATTATTCATATCCCACTATATGTGTAAAATTCTTGAATTTAAAAGTCATCTTGCTTCATTTTCAACTAAAAATAAAAATCAAGATTAGAGTGACGCAAACTTCAAATAATCAATCATTTTATCTTACATCAGATAATTCAGAAAAAAAATAAATAATAATAATAATTCAGAATAAATAATTCAGAATTAATAGCCTGCAAAATTACTTGTTTGATTATTTATCTTAAAATAATCCCACGCTTATGTCCTGTGCAGTTCGCTGAAGTGTGGTTCTATCTACTGCACCCCTCCAACCGACCTGATCGTACCGCGCGCCGGCATCATGCTCTGGTCAAACAGTGCCCAGTGCTTCACTGCGTACGCACAGAACGTATCGTCCGTGCCCGGGTTGGAGCTCGCGCCGGACGGATCAAAGTGCGGTGACGGCAAGGTAATTAATATTTTTTGCAATTAGAATATTTGGAGCATTTATTTGCCGTTTGGAATTTGCGGCAGCTGTGTTTTTTTGTCTAATGATTGTGAGGTGTGCAAGATGAAAGTGTGTTGTCTGGATAATAACTGAAATTTCAATTTTAATAATTATTATATAATTGTTGTGATGCTGGTCTGCTGCTTGGGGGAGTGATAGAACGAATTTTCGGTCTCTCAAATATTTAACAATTTATGTTGAAATCATATTCCGTGGATTTTGTACCTCTGGAAAAATCGGTCGTACATCAGAGTTGATAATAATAAAATAATAATATAAATATTGAAAAGATAAATGAAATGAGTGTCTAAACTATCATGCTCTATTCGGGCTGCAAAATTAAATTTTAAAACTGTTTCAAATAACAAATCCCTTAAGTTTTACCAAAACCTCGTTAAGTAAGAGCTCACAATTTATTGTGAAAAAATTTTATGAACATTCTATCTTTGATCAGAGGTAAAAATAAAAATATCATTACATGTACCTGGGGAGAAATGATATTTCTCCAAATGCAAGAGACTGAGAGCATGTTCATTATGAAATTTATGAATGAATATACTTGAGATGAAGTATATTAATTGGAATAAAATTTTGGACTCAAAATAATTGACGTGGTATCACTTTGTCGTTGGATAATCTTTATCTTATTCGCATTCCTTACCGTAATAATTATTTTATTCGCATTTCTTCCCGTAATCTTTATCTTATTCGCATTTTTTCCCGTACCTTGTAATTTTGAGTCATTATTTCGAGCGAGTGTAATTTTCCTGGGACTGGAGCGGTGCATTTAGCAGCACCTGAGCGTCTGGTCAAACATTCAGCTTCATTAAGCTACCGCAGAACCTGTAAATTCAACAAACCTGTTTCTCATATTCGTAATTTTTTTTTCATATTATCAAAACGAAGAAATGAGTGAAGGTATAAAAATTGCAGTGTCGAGGCGATGAGCCAAATTTCGAAAGCGCCTATAATAACGGTTTCATTCTTTATTGCATTGTTTATTTAGAATACAGCCAAAGTTGAATAGTTTCAGCGAGAGCGTCTAACGTTCATCACTTGCACGGCAATGTTTCTAAGTTTAATTTCAAACGGCGCTGTTTGAAAAAAAGTGTTTGAGTTACGAGGGAAATTGTTATTCGAGTAATTATTATTAAAGAAACTTGTCTTCAGCGCCGCTTCTCGACAAATTTCTGTACATTATAGGAGGGCAGTTAGTTGTTTAACACGTAACACTCAAGTTATCACATAGTTATTATTTAGACGAAAATCTTGCAACGGTAGTCAATTATGGTCTCGAGTCCGACATAGACAGGTTTATTTTAAAATTTCACTTCATTTGGATAATAAATTTCTTAAAACATAACTATTTGGAGCCTCTACTCCATAGATGTGCTTGAAGCAACGCTGTGTGTCGGTGCCACCTCCTCCTGAGGGCTGCATGCTCGATGGCTGCGGGGTCAATGGCGTGTGCAACAGCAAAGGGCGGTGTCACTGCAGCCTGGGTTTCGCTCCCCCGCATTGCGACGTGCCGGGCTTCGGTGGCTCTCGTGACAGCGGACACATGGCTGACCCCACAGGTAAATTCTTCGGGGCGAAAAATATTCCCATGAGTTTCCTGAACTGAAAGCGCGAAAAACATCATCAAATTTCTAAGTACAGTGCGTTATGGAACATAGTTTGTCGAGATGTCATTTAGATTTAATGAATTTGCAGTCCAAATATTTTTAATGTTCCTGTTTATTTTGGAAAAAATCAACCAAGGAGTTCAAACTAAGTTTGTAGATGTTGCTTAACTACATCAAAGTAAGGAATTCTAATTAAAGATTCGTTGCGGCTCCGAACATCCAATTTCAGAGGGTGCATGAAGCGCCGTGCTATCATTTTGTTTCGGCAGCTACATTTAATTAAAAAAAATCAAACGAAAAATTTTTGAGTCTAATTTTATGATTTTTATATGTGCAGTAACTTCGAATACCGACCGCTCCCTCTATTTGATCTTCTTGGTAATTATACCGCTGATGTGCGGAATCTGCGCTTCGTTCTGCTGCCTCAGCGTCTCTTGGGAGAACTACAAGAAGCAGGAGCATTATCAGCCATCCATCTGTAATAACAAAATTGGAGCCTATTTGTGTTGTTTTTCTGCACAAGTGACAAAACTTCTGATCGAAAGTGGCATTATGGCAAAGCCTGGTTTACCGACCGAAAACATCGATGGTGATCCGTCCGAAATAGAAAAGCTGAACCCCTCGCCGTCACAACGTCGAAACACCATTTTCCAAGTTGACGTCAACGTTCAAACCTCGAAGCTCGCCAATAGCTCATGGGGCACAGCAAACGACGCTTTATTTACAGACGTAATAACAGTGACCCCAAAAAATTCGCCGGACTTGCACCGCAAAGTTCGTTTACCATCAGATTCTCCTTTGCTCCATCACAGATCTCAGGATATCGAGCAGCGTCCGAAGTACGGCAAATCATTTTCGTCAGATTCTGGCTGCGTGTCTGATTTGGAAGAACATCGTGGAAAACCTGACATGAATATGTCAATGTCAAGTCTAGTAAATATAGTCATGAAGTACGGAAGAGGTGACAGATCACGCGGAAGTAGTGCAGAACCTGAAATTCCAAATCCTAAGCAGTTCGTGACGCAGAAGTCAGTGCCTCTCAGTCGTTTAGTACTGGATCCGTATGGACCGAAATCAAACGTGAAAACAGCTGGAAACTCTTCTCTGGAAGTTCAGCGGCCTGGATTTAATAGATCACTTTCATCAGATGCTGCAACATCTCAGTCAGTAACTGCAGACTTGCCAAAAAGTGGTTATTTAACTCCAAAGAAATCAACTAGCTCAATTAATACCAATTCGAGTTCAGACAGTGAATCATTCTACGTAAACATACCATCTGAAATTAAAAAAGGAGGTAATATTGGGCGTTGTTCACCTCCTGAAGATCTGAAGGTGAAGAATCAGCACACTGTATTCAAAGCGTCGAGAAAAGCTCCCCAAATTCCCAAAATCAAAATAGAGGATTCTGATGCGAAAATTACCAAACATAAAAAAGGATCAATTAAACCAAATTGCGCTGACTCTAATCCGTCGGAACAAACCGAGTTGAAATCAGCAGCAAAAAAGCCAATGTTACCCCCTCAATCTAAAACTAGTAACAATAATCGTCCTCTACCCACAACAACGAACATTCCCGGGGTTACCCCAGGAATGGCGATGGACAAAATATCAGGAGGTTCAAAAGTATCACTTGATCAGCCTAAAGCTCGACCTCCTATCAAGGATACTGGATCTAGAAGCTTTCGTGAACAACCTTCACAAGGATCAGAAAATTCGAACGAGTTTCTGATTAAATTCAATCAAGTTAAGAACAAAGAAAGTAACACGAGTTCTGCTACACCTAGTGTAGCCGAACAAACGTTTTCACAGAGCGCGCCGAGAAGGCCGATGTTGCCTCCGACAAAACGTTCGTAATTCTCAAGAACTTTAATGCTCTAAAAAACGTTTGTGTGCGCTGTGAATAAATTATTAATGGTCAAGTGATATTATGTACTAATATGTTCACAAACCTTATGATGGACGATATCCAGAAGAAGATTCTCGGAAGCTTCAGCCAGTAAAAGACTCACCTTAAAATTCGACATGTTAGAGAAAACGGGCAGGGTTATTAATTGCAGTGTCTGCGTGAGCCTAGTAGTAATCAATTTACATTATTAACCGTTTGAATGTGAAAGCAAACCGTAAATAAAAATTATTTATTCATTTGAAATATTGACAATTCATGCAACTTCCAATAAATTTATATTCAAGGTTTATTTAATGTAGTAAAATTCATCATCAGTGTCAACACAATGGCCGACGATCTGGCATAACACATATGACGACGATTATTTGAGAGATTTGACACACGTCGAATCAACAAGAACCAACTAGTGGGTGGTCACTGGTCAAGTCAATATATTTAACAAAACTGCCAAAATTTGGTTAATTTTAAAATGACGCGTTGCACTATTCCGCTGTAAATAGCATAACTGGCTTGAAATATCTTAACGGGATCTCAAGCATTGATTCTCTGAATGTTACTCATGTAACGCCTCCGCAACTTCCATTCAATCCCTGCTTTTATTAATACAGTGGAATTCACAGAAGCTCTGTAATTAACGTTATAGATACGCTAAAATTGTAACTTTTTAGGAATAAGTTTCTAAATTAATC